TCCTCCCCACTCTTGGGAAATTCCAATTAAGCTTGATACAATTCTTTAAATGTTTTGGTCTTAGAGAGCCCCCCATCCCCAGGAAATTCTAATCCCTACTTAGGGGGAAGTATGGGTATTTTTCGCATTGAACTGCACATTGTACTATTTCATTCCACCTTTACAGAATGTTTTTGTATAAACAATCGCTTCCAAAATACATTTTTCCTCAAAAGCTTCTTACTTGATCATCTTCACACATTAACAACCATTGAAAAATGTTACATCACGTGACCCATGAAATTTTGTGTATACATTTTTATTTACGTTGCATTATGGGATGGCTTTAATCGCATTGCATTTTGGGATTATTTACTGGACTATTTTCTTCGGAAATATTGGTTGCTTACCATTTGTCAGAATGAACCGGTTGGGATGACCATTGAATAATGGTAAGGGTTTTTCCAAAATCAGCAAACCAACCGAATGAGATGGTGCTTACCATTTGCAATTTGATTTTTTGTAGTTTTTTTCACACATGAGAGACTGGAACCTGGAAAATTTACTACTAGTAAATGGTATGGAAATTTTCGTCGTTCTGTTCCGAACGGGTAAAGAGGACTCCCTCTAAAGGAAGTCTACAATTTCCAAACAGATTTTTCTGGAAAACTACTGTTTCATTTGAGTTCCATCTGAAATTTCCGGATTTTACTTACTAAATAGTAAGCACCCATCATTGAATTTTATACGGCAATGAATTTGTGTCAGTTGTGGATTTTCTGGAAAACTACTGTTTCATTTGACTTCCAACCGAAATTTCCGGATATTTTTGCTAAATGGTAAACACCCATCATTAAATTTTTCACGTCAGTGAATTTGTGTCAGGTGTGAAAAATTAGCCTGTATGCAGTCTATGCATGAGATACACAAGACTAACGCATATTAAATGAGAGAACGTGATGGTTGGCAGGCAAACACTGCAGTAAAGTCTTTTACCTTAATAACAACAACAACAATAACTTTATTAATGTGTCAAATACATTCTAGCCGAGGATAAAAAAACCCTCTACTAATAGGGGACACATAAAATAATTAAAATAAATTATAAAATTTAAAAACCTAAATTTGATATTTACATTTGCGTCTTGTCCTTTTATACTTTGGTGAACTTGATCAACAGTCGTGGGAGCACCGGGCGCGCGTAAACAAGTAAGCGGGAAAGCTTAACGCCGATTTCTCTATGGTCCTCCTTTTGACTTGCACAAGACGTTCAATTTTCAGCAGGGCTATTCTTTCGTATCTTGCGACTTTAGAGGCTATTGTAGTCAGTAATATTTTGGAATAAAAACTCTTGATCACTCTCTCTCTCTCTCGCTCGCTCGCTTGCGCGCTTTCAGATTTAGACCTATTTACGCCTGTTTACGCGCGACACATTTTCCCGCCTTTTTCAGACTATCACTTCGTTTAGATCCAACCGAAATGTCAGCATTTTACAGATCCAAAACTTAGGGAATTTCAGAGCTATTAACCGCGCGGCCATGGGCCGAG